GTCAATCGGCCAGCCGTTCCGTACCTCCATCAGCCTCCGCTGCACTAGACGTCGACAGTTATTATATGCGGCCTTGGGGGCATTGGTGCTGTAGTTCTGTCCTTCTTAGAGTGTACACGTCAGGTGTCCTCTTCATTGTCACCAAGCCAGTGCGCAGTCGAGAGCCACCATTGCGGTGATCTAGATGGTTCCGCAGTTCCCCTTACTGGGTGTCTCGATACTGTCATGCGTTGCTGGAGTTGGCATTTGTTCCAGGCGGGAGTTCATACAAAACTTGCGTATTCTAGCAACACTAATCACGATAAGTCAGGAGGTAAGAGCTAATCTCTGCAGGCTCGATAACGAACAGTGGGTCGGATTCACTGAAATGGTGGCACATTGATACGAAAAGCCAGCTGCGTTATAAGCGTGTCCTAAGGAGCAGTGGCTTGTGGGTCGACGGTAGCGCACGCAAAGTATTATTTCATGGACAACGTCGTGGCCTACTAAAAGTTGGATTCCTGACGGTGGGATAGATCAGTAATACACGCTCGAATGCTTGATGTGCACACAATTTTAGCAGCGGGCAAAACCTCCGGAGGGATACGCTGACATTCTTCATCCGTTTTTCGAAAAATAAACAGTTTTGTACGATTCATTTTAAAATCGGAACTTAAACGCAAGAAAACCGGACCTGGTGGTGGAGGAGGAAAATATGCATAACATGCTGATTGTGAATAACAGCTGCGAGGCAGTTTTTGTAAACTGTGCGAAAAAACCTACATAATAGTCATCGTTGATTTGCATCATCGGTGCATTCGCACAGGCGCCAAGACATTCAACCTCCGAAAGGGTGAACAACTTGTCCTCAGTCGTCTGGCCGGGCTTGATACCTGAGAAAGGGAAAAATCACAATAAGGCAGCATCTCTGAACACAACTCAACCCTCCACTACTCCAAGAGGTTTACTAGTGTTAACCGTGCATAAGCCGTTGTTGATTCTTTTTGTATGGACTTGCCGATATCGTACATTAAGTCGTGGTTGGATATCAAAGCTACCTCAAGTCAAAGCGCATTAAAATAACAGCAAACTTTACTGCACCCATAGTTGCATACAATGCTTTTTGTATGATTTCAATCGTTTTACCTTCTAGATTTTCCAGAACAACCAGATGGCTTCCCAAACCATGACGAGTCAAAAACAGCAGGAATAAGAGTCTCACAAACAATGAAGAGAAATTATCGGAAAGGAAGCTGGAAGCAAACAGGAACAGATATTGACACTGTAGCCATCAGAGTCCGCACTATGAAACATAACTGACATCGAGAGATGGATAAGTCATCTTCCCATTACTAATGTCACTTAGGGGCCGATGGAGCGGCTGGCTCAAAAGTTATTAGGAATCACAATAGGGAGAAAAAAGGCGTAGGGTGGAAGACTGCGAATGCAATATTATTGCCGAAGAAAGGGGAAAGAAGCAATTTAGACATGAAATTATTGTAGACGGTCAAGTTTAATTTTGAGATGAGAACTATTTACTCATATGGCTGAAAGAAAAGCACTAAAATGCTAATTCTGTTCCTCATGGAATGCATAAATCGCTAAGTTGCAGAAAGATTAAGGTTTTATAAACGGTGCGAGTACTACATCAAAAAAAGAAAAAAGTAGAAATTGCAGAAGCGGTCATTCGCATTCAAAAAACGCCCTTGGCACGGCAGAAGACACGACGATTATTAAAGTACACACAGGAGCAAGACATAGATCTTGAAAACTAACTTTCGAAATGGTCAATTTTTGGGGTTTCAGGTCGTATTGTTCACCTTAGATACTCGAAGCAGATGAACTCTGGGAAACTAACCTAGTTTTTTTGTTACTGCCTCCATGATGACATCCGACCCGGCACCACCAAGCATACAGGGGGTTGTTGTGCAAATTTGCACGTGGTATTTGCCCACGGGTTTCCTAAAAAAATTGTACATGTCACAGAAAACAATTTGGTCGCTACAGGCAAGAAGCATAATGAAAATTCAAGGGAGCGAATACAACAGCTGGCTTCATCATTAAGACGATCATAAGGGGTCTGGTCTGATGTTCCTTTGAGAACGAGGAAACATGAGTGTGGCCAGGTAATCAAATATACAAGTCTACTACTACTACTACTACTACTAGCGTGAAATAATTCGAAATCAGGGTGTTGGGAAATAATTTGAACAGGATGGAAACAAAGAAGAACAAATGTATAGCTGTGACAAGGATGACGAGTGTAACTGTGATGGCAATGTCGAAGAATTCCAGTAAAGGAGTAAATAAAAATCGTTAAGCACTAATCTCCCATGACAAGTATCACCTTCAACGATCATGTCAGAATTACACAGAAAAAGGGGCATCAAGTGGTGCAGTAAACATACTGTACGTGACACGAAGCCAGGAGAGAGTGCTAAGGAGTTTGGCGTTGCAATCGAATTTGAGTCAATCGTATCAGTGATTATATGGCGGAGTAGTGACCGTAGGTTTTAAAGGAAAATAAAAGCGACAGGTTGGAATCATAAGTGGAATAGAATTAAAACGGCTTTAAGGTAAGGAAATACTCTTGTATGCATGCTTGAAAAATGGCATTTAGCATAAGCCTTATGGGAACACGTCCGCAAGAAGAAAAATGCGTATATGGAACAAGGCTATAACGAGAACCGGTGAACTCTGACGGCTCGGTTGAGGTACTGAATATGTCCCAGTGTTTCAGTGTCTTACGAATTTTACCTAAGAACGTGTTCTAAACAGCTACCAGAATCGTTGGCTACGTTTTCGCACGTTTGAAATTAAACGTTCAGTACCACTGACATGATAGGCTACTTACTGGCCGATTACGGCCACAAGGCAAGATTGACATGACCAGTACCTGTACGTGTGCCAGACATCATTTTTCCTCACCCTAGTGACAATACTGCCATTGATCCGTACGTACCAGCAGTTTTGGTGGACCTGTTCGCAACCCGGCCATCTTAATCACCACTGTTTCCACGCTCCTGAACCCAGCCACAGTGGTCGGTCTTCTATTAGAGCTCTCCACAAGGAAGCTGTCGCCTCGTGTCTCTCAGATCTACCCGTTGATGACTCTGCCATCACAAAAGGCTTCCAGTGTCTTCACCAAGGAGCCGTTGTCCAAGAAAAACTAAGCTACCATTCCATGGTCCTTTTGGGCGGCTATCCACTTCTAATTGCGGCCTCGGCACAACTCCCGAGGGTCACTCGCTGTACCCTGACTCAACTACGCAGTGGCTACTCAATGCTTCTTTGTCAGTACCAACACCGGCTCGACCCGTCCACACCCGAAAGTTGTCCTGATTGCGGCGTCTCTCAGCATGACTGTCAGCATCTTTTCGCCTGCAGTTCCTGGCCAGTCGCCCAACTCACCGTCGTGGACTTTTTGCTGTGGCCGGTCGAGGTTTCGGCTTTTCTCCAACCTCCAGCTACAACCATTTTGGATTTCGGTGGGGACTCCTGATCCAACAAGCGATACGACACACACCCTTACCCGTTTTTCGAATGTATGAGCTCACTTAATAAGCGGTTAGATTCTGACTGCCACGAGTCGCTATGAGGCGAAAGCAGACAATTCGTTCAGTTGAGTGGGATGACTGAAATGGCCAATTTGACTCCTTTGGCATCCTCGGTTATCTATACCACAATGGAATGACAGGAAGGCCTTGATCATATTTCCATCTTGAAACGTAAGCACATGTGCTCACCCAAAACGCTTAGACCCCAGAGGCTTCCCAAAGGCCTCTCGATGTTGGAATCGTAACCATTCTGGATCGAGGTGGCGAAATGTACGTGGTTGTGAACTGCGGAAATGCTCCTCAAGGAGGACTGTCTGACCGACAGTGTTAAACGTAAGTGTAACTTCACGGACAGAAACGGCTCACTTACTCGAACAAGGGGTGCTGGCTCAGCCAATCAGAGTACCGAATACTAGTTAATTGCGCATTGTCTTGCATCGACGGAAAAACGCTCCAGCTATGCTACCAGGGACTGGGGTTGAACTATGCTTACAACATAATGTTAACTGAGTCCGTATTTAGTTTGCAAATGCCCGTCTACAAGTCAGGCGAGACCCAAAAGAACGAAACTCCAACCTGTAAGATATCGTGAGCAAAAGACCGAAATGTATGAATGACTGAATAAAATGGCGAAACCTGCCACACTAAAGTTTATAATAAGATAAGGTCTGAGCACACGACGGTTCGTAGGTAAGCAAAGGGTTTAGATGGCACTGAAATAAACCAACCACATATTTTATTTTTTTAAAGCAGTTGAACATGAAAATTAATTTTACCTGTTAAACATTGTGTAAAACGTTGCAACTTCGAAAACACGGATCTCAGGGACACCTATAAACTCCGCAACCTTGGCCATAGCGCTCAAGGGTAACCAGCCTATAGAGGATTCGCCTTTTAGGTTAGTACTAACCATGTTGCCTTTGAGCTATATCCAGAGCTGGCATTATCGCAGCCGATTTGTGGGCAGGTGGATACTGTGCCAGCACGCTCTCCAGGCGCTTCCGACTTTCGGGAGTAAACTCAAACTTAACAGTTCGATTATTATCAGCGCTGTCACGGTGCTGAGAATAAGTAGTAAAAAAAATAGGCCGACTTACGACAAACTGTGAGGAGGCATAGCGCTTGGCTACAATGGAAGAACGGCCACAAAAAGCCTGCTTAAATGTCCGTAAGAGCATTTTGGGTGTAACAGGCCCGCGATCTGATTTGCCCTTGCACTTTATAGTGCACTAAAATAATTCAAATACAGGACTTTGGGGACACCGTAAGTTAAAACTTCACTAGGTTCAAATAAATGGTTATATAATTCGGATTTTATTAGAATCTCATGATAAATGTGGTTCTGTGTGACCATATAATATCATAGTGTACTCTGCATCTAACACTTGTATCAAACCGGCCATTAAGGGAGCTGTATATTGTTCCATATGGTGCAACGAGATCGGTGGATAATCGTACCAAGATCTTTATTATTTCTGATTATTGGATCAAATAAGTTTATAAATTCGTCCTGTTTTTTGAATAGGCTTTTTAAATTTTCGAAATTACTTTTAGTGATCTTATCTTCGAGGGCACACAGCATCCATAAGGACGGGTTTTAAGTACATGTAGGATTCCTTGATTTTAATCATTTTGTTGTCCGCCCTTTTCCACCCTCTTGGTCAGTTGCATCCTAAATTTTTTCTCATCAGCCTTGCCTTTGGTTCTTAGTCTGGCGGAAAAATGCTTCCTTATGCCGACTCAGTGAGACGCTTCTTATTTCTCGTCGGCGCACCGTCTGGACTTATTTCTGGAAGGCTTTTAAGGAATCTTCGGGCTAGTTTTAGTCAGGAGTTGACCTTGCATTGCCTTATTAGAAATCTATTATACAGTGATAAGATCCTCGTCCTATATTTGAGCATTGGTATTGTCAGGGAGAAAATCTTGGTCATGCGCAATTCGTTCTTTGAAATATGGAATGTAGTCTCTGGAACACTCTTTATCCCGGCAGTTTTGTTATTACTTACGCGAGAGTTTTTCGTTTACTCATCCGTGCCGTTACAGCTCAATGTTACGATAATCTTTTTTTATAGG